CGGATAAAACTCATGACAAAACTGTAGACTGCAAGATAAATAACTTCAGCATGAAGTTTTAGCTTCAATGTGAAACAACTTCATGCAAGTGTGATTCTGAAGATGAATCTGGACAAATTTCTGGGTTTTTGATAAAACTGCTGAGAGGAGAGGAGGAGATCTTTTTTCACGAATGAGGTTGCAGATCATGCGATTAACTTTTTGTCAGGTGTGTAATTGTCATATTATTACTGATTTTTTGTCAACTGGCAACCAAATCAATAATTTTTAAAAATAGGGTATATGTTAAAAGGAGGTACAAATATAGGGTACGACTGCAAATGCCCGATAAATGAAATAGATCAATGTCGATCCAGTTCAAACCCTCAATCTCCTTTCCAGGAAAAATATAATACAGTATTGATCTATAAATCCAAATATATTATTCCAACCCCGCTCTCTTAAGAGAGAGAAAAGAATTAAGGCAATCGTATTTTTATAATTAAAATGTGCAAATCGACGGTAAGAGTAGGGGTATTCACGGTTCGATTTGGGTCGGTTATTCCCTAAAAAGAAACCAAACCAAATAAGTCGGTTTTTCAAATATTGGAACCAAACCAAACCAATTGAGTCGATTTTTTATAGATTCGATTAATGTCGGTTTTTATCGATTTTTCGGTTTTTTCGGTTATTTATTAATTTTTTTCTTAAATATGAGACATACACTACCAAACGCATATTCCGGAGACTATATTTCCAACGTAACACTATCAAATCAATTACTCTTTGAGAAATCTATCATTTTCAAGATATATTGATGATAATTGAATCAAAATGATGATGAAGAATTTAAGTGCTCAATTAAAAATCGATTATTTTTAACATGAGATACATTCTTGTACTTAGTAAAAGAAAACTACCAATCAAACTAGAATGTAAAGGCATAAAATTAGATTATTATTATAGAAAAGAACTAGACTAAAAATACAAATGACTAATATGTACCATAGAATTTTAGAAACTTTATATAAAAATATACATATATATGGGTGTAATAATAAATTTAAATAGCTATTTTTATAGTCGGTTTGGTTCGGTTTTTTCGGTTATTTCTTTATTAAAACCAAAACCAAACCAAATTTGATTGGTTTTTAAAATTCAAAACCAAAACCAAACCAAACCTAAAAAGTATCGTTTTTTTTTTAGAATTTTTACATTCCTATGCCACATAGGAAACCTTATTACCCTCAATGTTTAAGGTTTGACTTAATTACACTTAGTATACCAAATTATCAATTCTATACCATAATTAATTAAGGGTATAATTAATTGTATATTTTTTAGTCCTTAATTAAAGGAACCTGTATATCCCAGTATCCCCACTCATCCCACGTTTCTCTCTCCTAACCCCTCAGCCCCACCCACGTTTTACCCATACCCACGTTCTTTTTACCATTTTCCATCTTCTGAAATCAAATTCTCCCTCTAAATTCACAGAAAATTGAAGAAACCCTTCAACAAAATTGGTTCCCCATTTTACTCCAGTTGAAGTTCATCAATGAAGAACAACAAAGTTTCGAAACAAAGTCCTAAAAAATCAGCAGTAGCTGATATACCCTCATTTGATTTGGGTGTTTTATCACCAAAATCACCCAAAAAGCAAGGCAAATCTCCACATGTTGCAGAGACTACTCATAGTTCCTCTCCCCGACAAATCAGAGCCGAGATGAGAACCAAACAAAAAAATGATGTAGATGTTGGAGAAACTTCTACACCAGGCAAACAAGTCAAACGAAAAGGAAAAGAGATTTTGGTAGATGACGACTTTGTAGAAGGGGTGTGGATGTTGATTTTTAAAGTTAAAATGGATTTTCGACATAATTGCTTTTTTTGTAGAAATTTTAGTTGTTTTTTATTTGTGAAAACAGAAAACAAAGCATCTACAATCAGAATACAAATAATCTACAATTTATCTACAAAATATCTACAAACTGGGTACATTGAATTTTAATATCCCAATTCCCATTCAATTGTAGCTTAATTGGTATTTTCGACATAATTGCGTTTTTTGCAGAAGATTTTGTAGAAGTTTTAGTCGTTTTGGATTTGTGAAAACAGAAACAATGTGTCTACAATCATAATACAAATAATCTATAATTTATCTACAAAATATCTACAAACTGGGTACATTGAATTTTAATATCCCAATTCCCATTCAATTGTAGCTTAATTGGTATTTTCGACATAATTGCGTTTTTTGCAGAAGATTTTGTAGAAGTTTTAGTCGTTTTGGATTTGTGAAAACAGAAAACAATGCATCTACAATCAGAATACAAATAATCTACAACTTATCTATAAAATATCTACAAACTGGGTACATTGAATTTTAATATCCCAATTCCCATTCAATTGTAGCTTAATTGGTATTTTCGACATAATTGCGTTTTTTGCAGAAGATTTTGTAGAAGTTTTAGTCGTTTTGGATTTGTGAAAACAGAAAACAATGCATCTACAATCAGAATACAAATAATCTACAATTTATCTACAAAATATCTACAAACTGGGTACATTGAATTTTAATATCCCAATTCTCATTTCAATTGTAGCATAATTGAGATTTTCGACATAATTGCGTTTTTTGCAGAAGATTTGTAGAAGTTTTAGTTGTTTTTGACTTGTGAAAACAGAAAACAAAGCATCTACAATCAGAATACAAATAATCTATAATTTATCTACAAAATGGGTACATTGAATTTTAATATCCCAATTCTCATTCGATTGTAGTTTAATTGGAATTTTCGACATAATTGCGTTTTTTGCAAAAGATTTGTAGAAGTTTTAGTCGTTTTTGATTTGTGAAAACAAAAAATAAAGTATCTACAATCATAATACAAATAATCTACAATTCATCTACAAAATATCTACAAACTGGGTATATTGAATTTTAATATCCCAATTCCCATTCGATTGTAGTTTAATTGGGATTTTCGATTAGACATAATCTTACCGATTCATTATAGCATTCTCAATTATAGATTGAGGGAAATATGTTAGAAAACTACATCAACTACTTTGTCGAGTTTGAAAAATACTACCTAGTGACATCAACTATTAGATTTGTTAACTTATTGTTTTCATGGAAAAAAAAATATAACGATATTTTCAGCTACAAGTTTAAGTGAGACTATAAGCAGAAAGATTAGGAGAAAATAAGAACAATTTTCAAAAGCCGGTCTCATACTCTGTCTCTCTGATTATTCACGTTATTTGATCTCTCAAAGATAAAAAATAATAATTAGAGATATCTAAATAAGGAATTTTAATGCTACAATGATTCCTTATTTAATGAAATATCTGGAAGAATATTTACTTCCACAATTGTAGCGCGCCTAAATAGGAATATCTGGAAGAATATTTAGTTCTGGATTTGTAGCGCGCCTAATTAGGAAGGAATCAGTTCCTAATAATTGGTATTTAATGAATGGTATAATATTTGTAGAATAATTGTGAATATGGCGGGTAAATATAAAACTATGCATATTTTTTATAATAAGATTTCATATATAGTATAGGAAGGAAAAAATCCCCTTTGGGGGTCGGTTTGGTTCGGACAGGTTCTTACGAACACCCCTAGTTAGAGTCCTCTATTTTGCGACACACTAATTATTACTTCTATATTTTAAATACAAACAGACCATAGGTGGCGTTTGTTTGAAGTTTTGCACCTTTTTAGTTTGCTAACTTAATTTTGAATTATTAGAGAAACTGTTTGGTTGAGCTAATTCTTGGGAAAAAACGTAAACTTCAAACAAATGCCTCCATGATCCTCCAAACTCAACAAACNATATATATACATTATTTATAAAAAAAGCGCAAGCAATTTTTTTGAAATCTGATTTTATGGTAAATGTCTAAATGTAGAACCAATCTTCAAGCTTAATAGCAGCTCTAGAAGAGAGACTAGCTTTGTCCACGACCATAACTTGATGAGCAGGGCAGCCCGATGTGCTAAGCTTTCGCTATGCACGGGGTACGGGAAAGGCTGGACAACAAGGGTCTATCGTACGCAACCTTACCCTGCATTTTTGCAAGAGGCTGTTTTCACGGCTCGAAAAGAGGGGACATAGTTTGACGAGCAATTAAATAAAATAAGTCAGCCCTCCTTCATATGAACAGCTTGCTATTTATTCATTCATTAATTAGTTATTCTGAGTTGCCCGTTATCAATAAAATGTATGTAACTATAAAACATACTAGCAAAATAATGCATTCCCTAAATTTCCATGTGTTGAGTTACTACATCGGCTAGGCTTTCTGGTTCAAGTTTACAGTTGCATCTTTACATTCTAAAGACGAAAGGTTCTACTTTCATCAAACCCTTTCTACTTTTTTGACTCGGGGCCATTCCTACTCCAACCCAGCGCGCACCGACATACTGCTACTAGTACATTGTGCTTTTCTTTTAATCACGATTCTTTATAGCAAATTAGAATTATTATTTTTGCTAACCTTATGCTAAAAGAAAATCAAGCATGGTAAATGATAAGCTTATATTATTTTGGGTAATAATATTGTTACCACGAACACATAATGTTTATATCGACATATGCTTTCTTTCGAAAGTATGCTATTTGGCCAATATGCTCATATCTAAAAATAGGGGTAAAGTTATATACACACTATCATCTTCATACCCCATTTGTAAGATTACACTGGATTTGTTGTGGTTGTATTCATATCTAAGGATCTACCTAGAATGTTGCAATTCTTTGATATCTTTTCATGTTACGGATTTAGTAGAACTATACATTTCTTGAACATCTACCTCACATGGGAAAATATTTACCAAATAGCTCCTGATGCTTTGTTACCTCTAACATAGAAAGTAAAAAACTCGTACATTCTGTAAGTAGAAGAACAAACTAAAGCCAAGCTTACTTTAAACATTTGTTTGATGTCGTTCTCTTTAAGTCAAAACCTCAAACGATATACTTCCAAATTTTTCAAAGAAACAAGAGAAATTGAATACAAACGACAAGTTAGATTCCTTAGCAAGAACCAATACAATAATTACATTTAAAAAAAAGTGGAGACGACTTACATAATTTCAAAATCCTGTATGCAAAATTTTTATGTCTTTTGTCATAGGACCTCAACATGAGTTAGAAATCCTCTGCTGGATTTTAGATCAAAAGTCCATTAGAAACTCTCGAGGCTAATAAAAAATCAAGGGTCTCAGCTGCTCCTTCCACTGTTTAATATACAAAAGCAACTCCTTTTACTCACATCATTAAGTGGCTCCTCATACTTCTTCAGAGTGCCTCAATAAAGCAAACTTTCTCAGGCAGCTTAAGTCCTGGGCGGATAATGCTGTGTTGTAATGATGCCATATAGTCATTATGTAGCTTGCTTTGTTCCCAAGGGCCCTCAAAAGAACACGGACAACTGCTTTTTCATGGGAATGAAGGAATCATTTCTTCAGTGACTGTCAATTTCACTAAAACAACCACGTGAAGCTTCAGCTCGGAATATTTAGGAGAGAGGTCAATTTCTACTTCAGATGTCATTTCCCCGTCATGATCATTCAAAACTACTAATACACAGCTAATGAATGAATCAAATCTTATTCAAAATTAAAACAATCCAAAAATTAAATCACAAGCGACACTGGTACAGGCTGGAGAGTAGGACATAAGGCTTGCACAGCAGTGAGAAGACCATCGATCCCTACATCACCTACCCACCTTAATTTGTAGCTTGCTCATTCCGACATTAACCTTTTCCACACCCGATTCACTCTTCATCTCTGTTTTCTTAAGATTTTTGACGTTGAGCCATGGGTGTTGCAAGCACTGCTCAGCAGTTGGTCGTTTCTCTGGCTCAAAATCAAGAAGAGGACCAAGAAATCCTGTGAACTCATGGGCATCAATTTCAGAAAACCTAAACTTGTCAACTAGCAATTTATCGAGAGAACCATATTTCAGCCTACGGATCCTCTTCAAATCTCCGTGCCTGTCAAAGTAATCTTTGGATCTAGCCCCACCAATGGCTATCTGCTCCACCATAAGTTAGTAAAAGAAAATTTCAGCAGCTATTTTCAGATATAGTTCTTAAAGGCCCACAAAAGTAATATAATGAGCTCACCTTCCGAGGGATCTTCCCTAGAAGCTCCATCATCATAGCTAGATGATCCTGCAACCCACCAAATAACAACAAATATTGTCAAGTGAAAGTTTTAAAATAATTTCTCTTCAGGAGGTAAAATTGACTAGACATAATTATTTCTAAGGCTAGGTCGACTCCGCTTTACACCCAAAAAAACAGACCTCGAATCAGAAAAACATAATACTTATTCCAAAAATAGAAAAAAGAGAAATAGTTGCATTATGTAATGAAAGAACAGTTAACCAAAGAAACATAAATGAAATCGTCTTACCTCATCTTCATTGAAACCTTGTCCACCTTTGGGAGTGAACATCATCTCACCGGTAGCAAGCTCAAATGCAATACAAGCAAAAGACCACATGTCAGCAGAGAATGAATATCCAGATTGAAGTATAACTTCAGGGGATCTGTACTGCCTTGTTTGAATTTCTTGTGCAAATTGCTTATCAGCCCAGCATGCATTTCCAAAATCCACAACCTTGCACCTCAAGTCAATCCCATCAAGAGATCTATTTGATTTTGGAGTCCCTCCTACCCCACCCATTGAAGCCCGTCTTCCAGATATCCTAGCTGCTGCTCTCCTTGCCCTTTGCTTTAGTTTTTTCTCGATGATATTCATTGTTACTCCTCCATTAGGGTTCCCCTCAGGCCTTTCAAGTATGGGAGTCATTCCGGATCTAATGGGATCTTTTGTGGCATTAATTGTAGAAAGTAAAAGAATATTTTCAAGTTTCAAGTCTGTATGAATAATTCCAAGTCCCCTATGCAAATAATCTAAACCAGTCAAAACACATTTGCATATTTCCCTAACTTTGTTCATCTCGAGGCCCTTATAGCGATTATATTTGACCAGCCTCAATAAGCTATCACCAAGGAATTCAAGAACCATGCATAGGTGCTGTCCATTAGGGCCCGTATGCTTAAAATGGTCAATAAGTCGTACAACATATTTACTATTAGATGAATCACCATTGGCAATCGCAGAAAGGACTTCAATTTCATGAAGAGCTGCTTGAGCAAATTGTGGTGCACTTTTCTGGATCTTCAAAGCAACATATTCCTAGGAGAAAACAAATATAGCAATGATGCCAACTCCAGATCTCAATAAGAGTTCTCAAAAATCAATTTGAGCTAATTTTCCAGAGGAGGGGCTTTTGAGACATTTTAGTGCTAACTAAACGGCTAATTATAACTAAAAATTCAAAGAAAAGAATCCAAGAAGAATAGAAACTGCACATGCTTACACAAAATAGAATGCTCTCATAAAAGGTTGTTCTTGAACACCTACATGAATGCTGCTAATAGATTGAAAATCAATCACAAAAACTCACTCTACCATCCACTCAACTGACCCCAATTCAGGCCAAAGTCGCTCACCTAGACAAATGTTTTTGATGACGAAACAAAGTAACCTCAACTTTATATACAAATAGGCATCTAGACATCTTAAAGTAAATTATAGGTAGTAGCGGAGCCAGGATTTTCACTAAGGGGAGTTACAATTTAAAAAAAATTAAATACACGAAGAAGTCAAGGGTATACAATACATAGTATATATACATAAAAAGATAATTTTGGCTTCTCTAAACAATGTAATTTTTCAACAAAGAGGTGTCAATTGACAAAGGGGTGACGCCTCTTGGAGCTATGTCGCTCCACCACTAATTATAAGCCAGCAGAGTATTACCTATCTCCACAATTACATTTGTAGATAAGCTCCGTGTTAATGTCATGTTAACTTGTTTCAGGATTAAAGGGGAACAAAAAGCCCATTGGAACTCTAGACAAGTTAAGTTCGTTCATGCAGAAAGGGCAAAAAGGACTTGGTCAATTTTGGAAAAAGAATGTCCAGGCTAAAAATTTAAGTTTGTTATTTATCTTCCCGTGATAGCCATATAACCATCACAATAACTCCTTAATTCAAATTCAATTGCCGAGTAAAAGCAAGCATCAACACGTTGCAGCAAGTAGTCACTAATCAAAATATCAAAAGGCAATGATACTTAAGCAAGACGCTTAATCCAATTTAATTAATCATCTAGAAAAAAGAGAGAGATTGAAGTCAGTTGCAAATGATAAATCATATTGGTGTTCACCAATCTTTTCTCGGATCGTTGATCATGAAAGAAAATGAAAAGATAAAACTTTAAGCGAATAATAATGATAATTATTTATCAAAAATTATAAGTAGTAATGACAAATACAACAACTACTAATCCACCTCAATCCTAAGCTAGTTGAGGTCAGCCAAAATATTAATTTTAAAAAAAAATAATAATAATAATAAGCATACATTCTGGCGAATTCACACAAAAACACAGATAAACAATATCAAAAGAAATAATGAAGATGCTAAACACTCACGGATGATCGAGTATCATAAGCGAGCCAAACAGTGGAGAACTCTCCCCAGCCGAGTTTTCGCTGAGCGATATATCGGCCACCAGAGAATGAATCGCCGATTCTCACCGCATGGTATCCTCCTTTCCGGTAAGAATCGAATCCCTCAACTTCATCCTCCGACGCCGACGACGATGATGAGCAAGACATTATGCTTTATGACTGAATCAAACAATCCTGATCTGAAAATTCTTATAGTATCTTCTCTTCTTTCATGAAATTTAATTATTTTCCGATTTAATTTCGAGTAATATTAAATCAGTAGTAGAACTCTATGGATTTGGAGACAGTGCGTTAATGGGGGAACATATGTGGCCTTCAATACAAGTCTCTCTCCACTTTTTGCTCTTTTTCGCTTTTGTTTTTCCTGCTTTTAATTTTTGTAGACTTTTTAAATTCCTTTCTTTTATTCAGAGATATGACTATTTAAAATTGTTGAGTTAGAATCAGATTATTTTTTGCTTTCTTTTATTAATAGTTTGTACATTGGATACTACATTGGATGTTGATGTTGTGAATAACTTAAAGATTAAATCTCTTACTTTATGTCCATCATATTTACTTTTTATGCCTATAAAAGGCTATGTAATTGCAATGGAAAGACGCACACAATTGAAAAAGAAATCTCTTCCTTCTCTCTATCTCCATTTCTTGTTCATGTTTTACTAAATTGCTTTTATTTTCTTGTTCCATATTGTTACTTTGAGTTATATTTCATAACACGTTATGAGCACGAAGTCTCTAACGTTAAGGTTGAATTCCACTTCTGATAACGTATATCTGGATGATCTATTGTCATAATATAAACTTGAGCATCTTGTTCATGAATATAGTATAGTTAAATTTTCGTGAACTAATAATAGGTGGCATGCTTTAGACTACATAATTTACAAAATTACAATTATACTTTATTATGTATGCTTATGGTTTTACCTTATAATACAATTTAGTATGCTTAGTATAATGATTATACATTAGTTTACTGTCACATATAATTAAAATAATAATAATAATAATATTCGTAACTATTTTATTTTGATAAGATAAAATATTAGTATAAGAGGTATGTACTACACCAAATTTTTCATTAATGATAGTTCTTATCAAATTAACGTGTTCAATCATTTCTATATGGAAATATATGTCTTTATTTGCTACATCTCTTATCGGACAACGATAATATTCCAAGTAAGTCGCATTCTATCATTTCTACTCCATCTTGTGGTATGAAAATTAGGTACAATTTTTTTTTTAACTAACTTTGGAGCTTAGTTCCATTAGAAACTGTGAAATAATTTATACTTTGGTTCAATTCTCATGGCCTTTTAGTTTCACGGACAGATATATGTTTGATCGGAATAGTTATTAAACTAATCAATTCTTTCCTTGTTATTGTTTAGTGCCTTCATTGAATTATTCATCTAATTATATGAACTAATGATTTTAAAAGCAAAGTAACAAGGTTTTGTTGGTACTTGGCAATANTCAATTCTTTCCTTGTTATTGTTTACTGCCTTCATTGAATTGTTCATCTAATTATATGAACTAATGACTTTAAAAGCAAAGTAACATGGTTTTGCTGGTACTTGGCAATAGTGATATCATTATGTTTTATAGCTAGCTAGCCTATTGGAATATGTAAACTGTCTAGCAAAATATTATTACTTTCTTATTAACTTTCTGAAAATTGAATTGTGATATATAATAAAGCAACAATACTAGTTATGTAGCATGTCAAATCACTTAACCAAATTATTACTGGAATTGCTTGATAAAGACCTTAGTGCAATAAGGGTATTCATATTAACCAGTATTGTTCCTACATGTATTTAGTACCTTTTAAGTCATGCGAATTAAGTTATATAATTTAATAATGTATACCATGCACTAACTAGACATACGGTTTAGACATATTTTGGTATTATCTAATTTACGATTTTTGTCAAATTATTATGATATTTTTATATCATATTTATGCACCACTTAATTCATTTTATTCAAATTAGCGGACGTGATATTTGCTTTGGGTTATTGAGATATCGATGTCCAATTTTTAATCAATACCACAACAATTAGTTATTTAGTGTAGAATAAATATTTTTATAGTGTTAGTTCATATGAACTTACAAATATGATATCACTAGAGCACTAACTGGTTTTATGCATGTAATCATTATAAATTGGCATTATTTTTAAAGCTTGGGGTAAGACATGGATTTGAATACTGATAGAGTTTCAAGTCATTATGGTCAAACATGCCTTTACATGGGTAATACATTGGATTCGAGTCCCAATGCACCATATTGATGATATAATGATGACTAAAGAAAAATAATATATTTTTCATTAAAGGCATGAAGATTGTCTCACTTGATTTGCTTCATTCTTGAAGTGAATGTGGTAGCAATACATAATAAGTTTAAATGAAGACATATGGTTGAACAATGAACGTGGACGTTCCAAAGATCAAAATAATAATAATCATCACTATGATTTTAAAGGAAAACAATAAGGATTCTCAAAATAGTCCTTCAAAATGTGAAGACAATGTTTACCATAAAATTGATATGAAAATAATAAAGTACGTCGCTGATTATGATCCATTATTTGAAGAGAATGTGACTTGTGATAAGCATTGAGAATGCAAACTCATTCCTAAAGTTGAATGTGGCAATATGTGATAAAAGCAATGAATAAAAATATGTAATTCATAATTATATGAATACCACACAACTCACCTCTAAGGGAGGTTTGAGTGAAATAAAGAGAATAAATATTATTGTGTTGTTACATAAATATATCATTGGTCGCGTACATGTGATACGCCAAATATTATTTTTCCATGCCTTATAAAAGTTATTAAAGTCAAAATTAAAACAATAAATGATTTTGCTTATGATGATTTTGACCATGACAATTTATTATAATATAAGTTTCTCTGTGAAGGAGACATTTACCATAAGAATGGTTTGATAAAAGATCGTGTAGTACAAAAGTTGTTAAGAGCTCCGGATGAATAAAATTATTCATGACATTGATATTGTAAAGTCTCATAAGAAACCTTTTGAGTTTCAAATGTACAAGTCAAAGTGATTATCATATTGAGACAATAAATGAAAGGAAGATTGAATATATTCATATTTTTATAATCATATCGGTAAATATGAAAGGTTACCCAGTTTTATTTCTATTTGTACTACACAAATATAAGCATGATGCTTGAATCATATGCCACAAGTAAACTAGAGGTTTACTAAAATAAATATTAGTTGGCATAATCGGTTGACCATCCCGGTTCAATTATGATGCGAAAAAAATTAATTGAGAATTACATTGGCATATATTGAAGAATAGAAGATTCTTCAAGAATTCTCTTATGCTGCTTATTCTCATGATATACCAGTTAAGGTAGGGATTGCATCCCTTGATTTCTGGAACAAATAAAAGGTGATAAATATATGGGCCCAGTCACCTGCCATGTGGACCGTTTACTATTATATGGTTTTAATAGATGCATCTATTATATGGTCACATGTGCATTTGTTATCAACTTGCAGTTTGGCTTTTGCAAGATTTCTTGCTCAAATTATTAGAGCATAATTCCAGAATATAAATTATGATAATTTATCTTAATAATACTGGTTTAAATCCAAGTTGGTTAGCAAAAATTGTATGCCTCCAGTTATAGCTAAATCATTGGTTGTGAGAACAAAACTCTCAAAAAACGAAATTTTGTATGAGATGTATTATTTAATATACAACAACACTTGTACGCATATAGCCAAGTTATGAAAATTTCTTCCTATCACAATCAGTTCAGGGTCAGGAACCAAATAATTTCTATATAGAAATATGGATGTGTTATATGATTTAATTATTCCACCACAATGCACAAAGATGTGTTCCCAAAGAAGGTTGGGAAATGTGTTGGTGATCCCAACATTAGGGGGAGAAAATGGGCAGCTGAGAAAGTGATACGTGAAATAAATTATTATGAATACATATAGATCCTCGTACAAGAAAATATGAACTTGAAGTTCAAGTGATAATTCATTTACAAATTATTATCAGACGCATTTGCTGACCCAAAGCTAAATGTCATATTTCAACTGCTAATGCTCCAAATAGAATAAAGTCCATGGGGGACAGAGTCTATGCCACGCATAAAGCGTAACAGACCAATCGGTTCCAAAGATAAAACTCCTTGAAGAAGGAGAGGGGCAAATATTCAAAATGGTCATAAAAAGGAGGCAAATGCTCTAGAAGAGCACCACGACATAATATTTCACAAGACCTCATGGGAGAGGCTCAGGTACCTGAAATAATGAGATAAAGAGATCTCAATAAGTTATGTCTTTATTAGGTAATAATTGAACCGATATAAAATGATCGTCGACGATATTGTTAACATAATGTAGCGCTCAATATTATTAATATTGACGAGGATCTTGAGCTCAAATCTGTCATGAAATTTGGACAGATAAATAATTGGTCAAATAAAAAATACGCAATGAAAGTTGACTTCACTTGAAAAATATAAAGTTGGACGGAGTCCCAACACCTGAAAGTATAAATCCAGTGAGGTAAATGTGTTCTTGTGCGAAAAAGGTCAAGTCGATAGACATAAAGATGACTTGTGTCACAAGAATATTTGTAAATTTACTGGCATTAATTATATAGAGACATGTTCTCTTGTGGTGGATGTAGTCATTTAAGATTTTAATCTGGCAATACATGAAAAACTTGATATGCGTATAACGGAAATCAGTGAAGGATTTAAATTGTTCAGAAGCATATAAAAGTTTTCGAGAAACTTATTCAATAAAGCTTCAGAAATCTTTATACAGATTGAAACAATCAGGTCGTATGTAGTACAATCGCCTGAGTGAATACTTGTTGAAAGAAGGGTACAAGAATGATCCAATTTGTCCTTGTGTCTTTATAAAAAGGTCTGGATCTGAATTTGTTATAATCGCCGTATATGTTGATAATTTAAATATCATTGGAACTCTTAGGGAGATTTCAAAAACAGTAGACTGTTTAAAGAAAGAATTTGAAATGAAAGATCTTGGAAAGACAAAATTTTGTCTTGGTCTACAAATTGAGTATATGAAAGATGGAATATTTGTCCATCAATCAACATATACCGAAAAGATTTTAAAGCGATTCTATATGGATAAAGCACATCCATTGAGTACCC